AGATTTGTTAATTCTACAAATCTCATGTACTTTAAAGAGTTTTGCTACAAAACTATTCTCTGTTCCCTTCCATCTTGATAGTATAAAAAATTATAAATCAATTCTCCTTCATAGCCATGCCAGAAGGTTCTGAATTTCCTGGAGATTCAGCAAATTACACATCTGCAGTTCCTGGAATAGCTCCCAAAACTGTGACTAACCAGTCAAATAGAGAGCTGAATACCATCAGGTGACTCAGAAAAAGCAGGCAACCCATCAGTAGTATCAGTATGCTTTCTCAAGCTGTAGGCCTCCCAAGCCAATTTGCCAGCATTATCACCTTTATTCTCTATGTAATTTGGTCTTTATACAGTATCAATCCTGAATATACTGACAGCAGGTAATCTGACTAAGATCCTTCTTTCAAATGCCATCCGTACTGCAGGTCACTTCAGGGGACAATTTTCTAAACTATATATACCCTTGTAATTCAGCATCAGTGGGAAGAGCAGAGATCTAGGGTCTGATCCTACTTTACAAATTATTGCTCATTTAGACCTCAGACAGTACAAATTCTACTTATGTAAAATAGGGACAGTGTTATAGTATCAGATGAAGCAAGAGTGTCAGACAAATAAGAATAGTTAAATATATATATCGTTGAATCCTGCAGTTTAGCTAAAGCAGTACCATCACAGATCCTGGGGAGAAGTGAAAATTTTGAAGCATAACTAGACATGTATATGCCCAATACATTTGGAAATCAATTGGTAACTCAGACTGTATGGATAGGTCCAAAATTCCCTGGTAGTCAATGACACTTACTTTTAAACTTGCTTTTATCCAAATCTTCCACATGGTCCTCCCCAATTAAAATCTTGGCAGCAATTTCTAGGCTTACTATCTGAGGCGTTGACACCAGAAACAGCATCACAAATTTCTGGCTCATCACTCTTAAGGACTTGTCTTTGCGGCTGTTTACAGAAGCTTTGGAGAAGGATGAGGATTAGAGAATTAAAATTCATGAAGGGACAAGTGACTTCTAAAGTGGCAAGGCTAAAAATACCACCACCTGATCTTCCAGCTGACAACTGCAGTATTTTAACATTCAAAGCTGCAGTAGCTAATTTAGAGCAATGTTCTCTGTGGGGTCTCTTCTTGAGACCCACGAAAAGTACCGTGCAGCCTGGGCTTTTCAGTACCATTTCTTACCTGCCCGAAATTCCACTCCAGGGAGCTCGACAAAACACATGTCTGGGTGTCCATTTTGGCCAGTGTTTGATTTGATGATATGATCCTCTATACTGTAACTCTTGATAAAGTCAAACTCTTGTTCATATTCTTTCTTTTTGATCATCATAATCTGCTCCGCGTACTTATTCTCTTCCCCGACACTCTTTAGAGTCCCTAGAGTTTTGTTGAGATTATGTCGCCCATGCCACGTGTACCTGTTTTTGGCGAGGCGACTCACCATGTGCAAACTCTCTAGTACATTCACGATATCGTAAATTCGTCGACGCTCAACATCTACAAAGAATGCACAATTGTATGTTATTAGGATTATACTTTTATAATGTGTTTAGAATTTAAGAATCATTTATTCTATATATTTTTGTCAGAAGGTTCTGGATAATGTGATTTTAATTTTTGGAGACACATACACTTAACAAACAGTGCGAAGGTGAGAAAGTCATGTCCCTGCTCTCAAAGGGTACAAATAAGTTAATACAAATTAGGAAAGCAGCAACTATTGAGGGCCTAAAATGTGCCATACAGCTCCAGGAAATTTTTGTCCTAACCTGTGAGGTAGGTTTTATTATCTGTACTTTAATGATGAGGATCAAACCAGTTAAGTAATTCCCTCCAAAGAACAGCCAGGAAATGGCAAAACTAAGTTTCTAATATTCTAGATCCCACACCTTCTAACCCATTTATTCTACCACCCTACACACACACACACACACACATACATACACACACACACAGCCTGTTTATAACCATAATATGATAGGTACAAAGCATTGAGATTTCAGAAAAGTGCAGAAACCATGATGTGGTTTTTAAAAAATCCACATAAAAAAACTGAAAAGAATATTCCTTTTTGGGTCTAATTTTGCCTACATTCCAGCTATCATATGAGTAATTCTTTGACTCTCATAATTCTAGTTAACTTGAGTTATAAGTATTCTACAATGTTAGGATTCTCTTTGTTCTGGAAATTTACTTTTAATATTGATTTAAGTTCAAATATTGGATGAAATCTAGTCTTTCAGGGAAAGTGCTTAAAAATCTATTTCAAGAAGGCTGCCCCCTAGTGGCCTTTCTTGATCCTTGGACCTGCAGGATAAGTCCACTGGGCCTGAGGGCCTCAGTCCTGAGCTGTTCCTTCTGCCTGGAATCCCTTCTCCCAGATGTTCTCAAAGCTCTCTGTCTGGCATCTTTCAAGTCCTGACTCAGATGCCACCTTCTCAATTAGCCTGACCTGACCACTTAATTTAAAATTGCAAAGCACACCCCCACAACTCCTGGTCCTCTTACCCTGTCCTAGAATGCAGGTTTCTCACAGAGGGATTTTGCCCTTTTTTGGTCACTGATGTATCTCAAGCTCCTTCGACATTACCTGGCACATACTAGCTGATCAATAGATGTCTGCTGAATTAAAGAGCACGTACTACCCAGCTAGACATATTCATTAATTCATGAAATGTGATATTTATAAACATGTATTAGAAGAGCAAAATTTTCTTTATGGAGTGATAGAATAGGATATCTCTTCAAGTTTTAGATTAAGATACTTACATAACTCCAAAGAGATCCCATATTTGCCACAGACCCTTTTTTATCTCTAACTAGCTTTAGGTCTATGAAGAGTAGAGCAAAAGGGTGTATAACACAGTAACTCTTGGAAACACAAAATACTCTGAAAACTCATCAGTCCTCAGACTAATGGTGGTTGAGTGGCAGCGCTTATATAAACCCTGGTCCCACTCACAGGRGCTGGCCTTTATTGTTAACTGTGAAGACATCTAACCTTCAAGGACAGGGCCAAGGTGAAAGTTCAGAGTTGTATCGGCTTTTGAAACAGATTCAGAGACAACCTACCTGCTTCTAAGATTCACTGAAATTAGAAACTATTCACCTTTATTCCTTAATTAAGAGGACTTTTGGAGACTTACAATTTCCCTGTTGCCTTATTTGTGTCCATTACAAACACTGTCTATGTAACCATGCATTTGCAGGAGTTAAATCCATGAAATTAATTATTAACCATTTCAGTAAACTCTTTGCATACTTACTAAGTTCTTCTGCTACTTCATCAAGACAGATGTCATTATTTACAGCAGGGTTGGGATAGTCAGGATATCGTGCTAAGAACTTATGACACAATAATCCTAAACTTTTCTCTTTTCGACTTGGTTGCGATTTCTCATATTCATCTCCAGATAAGTGTTCCTATGAAAGGAAAAGGTAAATAACATCTCATTCTGAAATAATGTTTGACAGATTTATTAAGGGCATCTGTGTTTGATGACTAACACCACTTATCTACATGCTTAGCTTGGACAGCTGCGAAGTTTGAGATGGAAGAAAAAGTTGGGTGGGGAAGGGGGACCCAGTAGAATACTTGGCAAATCTGAAAGGGAAGCCTGAAATAAAAATCACTCAAAGGTTCACAATTCCCAGTGGTTGATGGGGTTCAAACCTTTCTGATGCTCTGAAATTTATTATGAAGAGCCTGAGGATAGTGATCTTCATATTTTCATTATTTCTGCAGAAGATCCAAACCCCCCATTAATCCCCAGTCTCTACTGGTCCTCTGAAAACCTACATGTAAACAGTCTTTGGCCTCAGGTAATCCATTTCTGTTGTCAAACAATCCCCTTCTCTGATCTCTGTCCCGGATCTCAGGGCTCACAGCACTGATGAGCATTTTTAGATTGGCTGTTGGTGTCCATGGCTCTCCCTGGGAGACTTCCTTGGGCTTGGTGGGCGTGGTTAAAGGGCCAAAGTCAGGCTGGATCTCGGCCAGTGCTATATTCACCTTTGTGGATTCTTTGAGGGGTGTTTTCATCAGTCCCCTTTTATGTGGCTCAAAAAAGAGATTTTCCTGGTTCAAAAGAAGTAAATAGTTAAATCCATTGTAGAATAAGATTTATCAGATGGCTTTTGACTCTAAAAATCATACAATGAATAGAATATTGCTAAGGAAAAAAATCTAATGAAATCAAAGTTGATTAAGGAGTATATTACAATGATTATTTCACACCTACTGCCTGTTCTAATAAATTTTCCACTTTCAAGTTTGCAAAAAGCATGGATTCAAATGCTTTCATCTTATGTTCCAAGAATAAAAAAAAAGAAAAAAAAGAAACTTGATTAGGACTTATAACTTTTTAACTCCATTTTGAAATAAGTTTAGATTTAGAGAAGAGGTGCAAAGGTAGTTTAGAGAGTTCCCATATATCTCTACTCATCTTTCCCTAACAGACCTGTTAATTTTAAATAATCCCAACCAGTATTATAAGTAAGCCCCCAAGGCAGAAACCATTTTCCAGCTAGTATAATGGCTACACTGGGTGCTGCATGATGATTAAACAAAACTGACATGGAAGAAAGCCAAGCAGACAGAGGTGAGAGATAGCATATAGTCAGAAATCCAGAGAATCTGCGAAATCCAGAGTGCCTAAATGCAGGTCTTCTGACCAGAAAAATTTAGCTCTTGTGAATATCCACCCTTCCACTTTACAGATGAAGAAAATGTGGCTTGTTCACAAATAAAGAGTAATAGAGACTGTGTTCCTTCCACTTTCAGACACCAGGTACTTTATACATTGCTCCTAGCTGTATCTATTTTAAAGAAAATACTTGAAATGGCAATATATGAAAGAACAGGGAGAACTACTAACTCCTCACTAAACTTTGGGAACACGGAAGGTACTGTTGTTACATGTCTGAACGCCTAAGGATTTATTAAGTGCTTTCTCATATGTATTTTCACTGACTCTTGCATTCCTATTTAGCAGAAGAGGACACAAGGCTGAAGGAGGTTACACAGCACAGGAATCTGGACCTTCTCACTCCATGTATGGTGTTCCCACATAGCGGTTAGTATGATGGATCTAGGTGGGGACTCCTTGCCAGCATGTGCACTCATGAGGTACTGACCTACAGATGGAGTTTTGCTAAAGACTACTGCTCTTTGCTTCACACTGCCAGGAACAATATTAATTCTCTTATTTAACATTTAAAGCTTTTAGTAAAGTTTCAGTTCACCTTTTTAACCTATCAGTAGCTAGACACCAGCAGGATACTCCTGTTGACAATTCCTCTGTAATTTTCCAAAATATTTACTCATGGGCAGAATTTGGAGCCCTAATAGTTAAAGAAGCTGACAATTAATAAAAAATTATCTCAAAAACAAATCCAATATCAAATTATGTCAAATATCCTTTCTGAATTCCAATTGCTTAAGAATCCTCAGAAATATCATAATGTACTAACAAATTTTATTGTATTCTTAAAAATACCTTTTCTCTTTGTAACTTCCATAAAACCATTAAAATAGAAAGATTACTTTAACCATGGGCAATCCTACCCTTCTTCAAAACTTAAAAATTTCCTTCCTTCTGGGTTTTTGCAAAAGCTAACTAACCAAAAAGGGTTGATGTCAATAAGGCAGAGGAGAATGAAAAATTAAACAGTTCAGTCATGATGATAATGCAAATTTAAAACTGCAACAGTGAATGCCAAAGCTACAAAGTACCTTCTCGTTCTCCATTCGGCTAATTTTTCATTCATTTAGTGTTTCTTTTAAAATGAAAAATCTGTAGTTCCTCCCCAAATCCTGATGGTTCCAGTAGTCCAATCAATTCTATTAAATTTTTTAATATCCTTAAAGAAATAAAGGAAATAGAAAAAAATTAGAGAAAATATGCACCAGTAGATTTGCTAAAAATTCCTTCACCTTCAGGGACACAAGAGGCCGCTGAAACAAAGACTAACAAAAAATGACAAACTGGATTTATATTTTATTCTTGATCTCCAGAAGAGATAGATAGCCCCACCACGGGGTAGACAATTCCAACATCAATAGATTACTTCGTAAAAACCATCTTCTGTCATGAGCTTTCAAGTAACCCACAAAATTCCCAGTGACAGCTCTTTGCCATCTTTAGAGAAGGCATTCTACCGGGCCCCAAGTTCACTAGCAAGCACCCACCTGTCCACAGATCAGGGCTCCGGACTGAGCATACGAGCCCAGGTTCCGGCTGAGCACACAGGACCCCAAGTTCTGGACACGAATCTGCATCTAGATGCCCGAATTTCTCTCCTTGCACATATGTGCACATGCTCAGCAGTAGTCTTGGGGCGCTGCGATATGGAACTTCCAAATTCAGTACCTAAGCTCTAAGGGTACTGCTGGGCATTTAAAGAGCGCCTTCTGGTTAAGACTCTTTTTCCTTTTAATAGACTTCCTTAAAGATGCAGAGTTCTATGTATTCGCTATTCGGGTGGCTGGTTCACACCACGATGCTCAACTCCATTGAGGAAGGCTGCGTTTGCTCAATCAAACAACCAGGTACGGTCATCCAGCCCGCCACCCGCTCCGCGCGCAGAGTACTTCCCCCTCCTGCAGACCAACAGCACCTCCCCTGGAGGCTGCCCCGCTMGCCGCCAGCCCGACAGTTCCCGGACCGCATCCTCCTGGTTTCCAGAGCAACGATTCCCGTCCAATCGGAGGGACAGCTGCGGGCCTACGATTGGTTGACGGTCCCAGGGGCGGGGCCGGACCTTCCGCCTTCGATTTAAAAATTTGGCGCGGAAAGCCGGACCGTGGCCGGCACCGCCCCTTAGCTGCGCGGGGCCTGAGCGCGGGCAAACCCGCGCCCGGAACCACGGCATCCCAGCCCCTCCCCCTCGCTCGCCCCCGCCCCTCTGCGCGGGAGCTCAGCTCCTCCCTCCACGGCCCCCGGCGGAGCGGGAGGCGGGAAACGGCCGCCGCCGCCGCCGCCGCCCGCCGAAGCCCGCTCCGGGTGCTGGCAGGCCTGGCGCCGTGTCCCTTTGCGTCCCGCTGACCTGTCAGTCCACTTCACAATTGGAGTCGGCAGGGGCTGAGCGGGGACTTCTCCGCACCCTTTCCCCGCCCAGGCCCGGGAGTCCGCGTGTCTGGCGGTCTGTCAGTCTTTCCGCCGCTCCGAGGTGGGTGCCGGAGGGAAACGCCTGGACCAGGACTGGCGGGTCGGCGGGCGGGCAGAGAGAGTGTGACCGTCCTGGAGCAGTCAAACCCCGGATTTGAAATTAACCCGCTCCCGGCGCGAGCCGATCCCGCGGGCTGGGAGGGCCGCACCCCTCCCCCACGCCCTCTCTTCCCGGCCCCGGGCCCCGCGCGCCAATCCGAGCCTCTCCACACCAGCCGCCTGCGAATCAGGGTGCAGGTACCGCCCTTTAGTCCTGCCTCCACGAAGAGTTGGGGGAAAAGTTCTACAACTTTTTTTTTTCTTTTCTTTTTTTGCGTACACCCCTTACCCTTACTAAAATTGGTGAATGAAATTTGGCCTCCCCAGGATTCGCGGGCTGAGAATTGGGCACTGTGATCCCCAAATTGGGGCTATCTTACCCACCGCCCAGCCTGGGTCTGCTTACCTGCCCTCCGGAGCTCGTCGGGATCTTTCACCCTTTAATACCAAGCATGCATTATTGGGCTGCCAGGCATCTATTCCACAACTTCCAGAAACTGGTGGGCAGAGGGAAAAGTTTGGCTACTGATACCAAAACTCGTTGGGCGCGGGCCTTGGCGCGTCCCGGAGAACTCAGGTGTGGGAGAAGGAAGAGTAACACTGAAAACCCGCCAAGCCTGTCCGTGCCGTCCCGCGTCTTCCCTTTCAGTCTTCTACCCGCTTCTTCCTTTCTTTTCCTGTTGTCTTCCCTCTCTTTTTCCTCTTTTTTGGGTTTCCGAGCCTTGGGCGGCATCAGCCTGGTATATTGTAAAGTTCCACAGTAACAGTGGAGTTAGGAGGCACTCTAGTCCTAAGTCCTCATTTTGAAAAGGGGGAAACCGGGGCCGGAGCCTGTGCCTGGATTGTTTGCGCTCTCATTTTTTGCTCCCCTCTTTTCTGCCTCTAAACGTTTCCTCTTTTCTGGGCACCCGGGCTGCGGTTGCTGGACCACATGTGTTGCCCAACCACACCAAGATCAGGACGCCCAGCCGGGAGTGTTCGGTCTGGGCTTTTCCTCCTGTTCTGTAACCTTGCATCTTTAAGTTCCATTGGTTATGGCTATAGGGGCCACGCTGTCCAAGTCCCATTGCTTACTTGTGTATCAATGAATCACCCATTTCTGACTCTAAGTCCGAGATATTCTTACATTTTCCTAGACGAAATAAGAGCTTGGATGCTGTGATGCTGAGGCCGGGATTACTTAGCTGCAGCTACTGGCCACAGGCCTGGGGGCCTAGGTTGTGAGGGTTGGCTTATCTTCCTGTGGAAGGCAACCTCAACGGTGAGCTCAGTGGCCACCCAAAACTGTTAGCACCATCCTGAGCCTGTCTTCTAGGGACCATCCCAGGCAGGGGCACCCATCTTCAGGCGGGTTTTATTTTTGAACACACTTCAAAAACGACTTCAAAGGGGACTGGCTGCCTTCAGTTCTGGGATTTTAAAATATAGCTGGAGTCACTGGGCAGGTCCCAGTAAGTATTGCAGTAAGTATCAGGTTCTTGCTGTGGTTAGGTCTAATTCTTCTGGAGCAAAGTGAGACTATAAATGCATCCACGAATGGTGAGCAGTTGGTGCTTCTGCTTTAGCCACTGTCTGCTAGATTACCTCTACCTGTCCCCTATTAGTGCTTACAGCAGTGCTTGCACTCATCCCTGTTCAACCTACCCCAAGTTTTTATGCCACGGGACTCTAGTGGGCCATAAGCTCCCTTTAAAGGGACTTTTTAGAAGTAGCCAATTTGATGCCTGGTGTTTAGAAATAGAGGGCCACTCATGCTACAGATGTCTGAGTGTCAAGTACCTGTAAAGCACATAATGCAGGGAATAGCTCCTCTGGTGACATTTCTTAGATTGCATACTCAAGTGTTAAAGCATGGGTTACGACTCAGTCAGCAAAGCAGAGTATTGTAATAAATCTAAGGTCTCATGGGGAGTGACAGAGCTAGAACTTGAAGCCAAGTCTTTTTAACTCCTCAGAGCTTTCCACTGTACTGGGGGCTGGTCCTCACAGCAGAATAGTTGTGCCCAATTTTTTTTWAAAGAAAATAGGCACAAAAGGTTAGCTGTAGAACCATAATTAGAGTCCAGTCCTGCCTGCTCCCAGTTCATACATCCATTGAAAGTTCCCATGAGCCAGGAGCAGTGGTGCATGCTTGTAATCCCAGTGATCTAAGAGGCTGAGGAAGGATTGCAAGTTTGAGGCTAGTCTCAGCAATTTAGCAAGGTCCCAAGCAACTCAGCAAGACCCTGTCTCACGCTAAAAAATAAAAAGGGCTTGGGATGTGGCTCAGTTGTAAAAAGCCCCTTGGGTTCAATCCCCCATACTATCACTACTACTGTTAATAATAATAATAAATAAAAAATGTTACCATGAAAGCAGTGTTAGTAATACCTTAGGCCAGCTTTTAACCTTTTTAGCCCTTCCTCCAATCTAAAAAACAGAAAGGAGGGATATGTCATTTCTGCTCAATGACAATTGTCATGACTATTTTGTCACATTAATCAAACTCACAGAACATGATGAAAAGCAGTCCTGTTGAGAGTGAAATGATATGTTTTGAAGGCTTAATGACCCTTTCATGTAAAGGTAATTTAGAAAAGAAGGCAATCTGAAACAATTCTACTCAAAACTGTACAAGTCCATCAATTTGAAATTCAGCATGAGTGTAAAAGAAAAGATATAACACTACCAAAACTGGATGTGATGTCCCAGTCCTATAATCCCAGTTACCTGGGAAGCTGAGGCAAAAGGATTGCCAAGTTCAAGGCCAGTCTGCACAACTAGATGAGACCTCTCAAAGTCAAAGAGGACTGGGGATGTAGCTCTGTGGTAAAGCACCTCTGGGTTCAATCCTCAATCCAGTAGGGCAAGAAAGACTACTGAAAACTTACGTTTACTGCACAAACAAGAATGAAGGACCATGGGACAGGCTTGAATTTGTTTTTATTTTCCCATTAAATATATTTTGCAGTTGTTAATTACATAATCCAAGGGAATATCTGTGTTTGGTTCTGTTCATCATGTTGTRTAATCCATGTCTCACTGAAGTTAGACCAGTTTGTCCACTTTATGCTGCCACCCTTATGGGTTTCACAACTCAGGACTGATATGTTGTGTAACACCTTTAACACTAAATGAGATATTATGAAAAAAGATATCAAAGGTAGAGATGGGCATTATTTTAGGTGCCTAGATTCAAAGGTAACATTTGGGATTTCTGAACTATGTCCCTTTGCTTTATCTTCACAATGGGTGTGGGGGAAAAAAAGAAGGCAAGATCTTCCCCTATGATCAGGGCAGGATGAGGGGCCATGAAAGGACTTGCTGTACTAGTGGGTTCCTAGGTCTTTCTATCACTGCCCCTGCCTCCCAGGTGCTGCTTTCACTGGCTCTACTTCCTGACCCAGTGGGGAATTTGGGTTTGTGCTTCTTCTATAGCACGTGTTGGTACAGCCACCACGAAACAGCTGTCTAGAGCTTTAAATCACACAAATCCCCAGGTGCTGGGTTGAATTGCAGCTGCTCACAGTGAGATATGAACTCTCCCTGGTCCTTTTAATAAGTTGGTTATTCTGCCTGCAAATGAAAGGTGCTGGCTCCATTCTGGGCAGGGTTTTAAGGGGATGAATACACGCAAGAGACTGAGGAAGTGGGAGAGGCAGAGCTGGTCATGCTGACTGGAGCTAGGTTTGGTCAGAGCTTGTCCCAGGGTGTGGGAGATCCCCCAAAGTCTCCTATACTTCCTGTGGGAAACTCCTGGTAGCCCTGGATAGATATTTGTAAGCAGGGACTCAGCTGTAGTCGCAACAGTTGCTGCCAGGTACTGAGCAATGACCCCTCCTAAATTTTTTAAATGCCTTGAGGATAATAGAATACAAAATATCAAGGGCCCTCTATAGAAGTTCAGTCCTCATTGTATTACTGTATGTGTAATTTAAAAATGGTCATAAAGCTGAGGGTCATATAATCTAGTGCTTATCAATAGTTTGAGAGAACACTCTTTTCAAGACCTGGGACATTAAAGAAGTGTAGATTCCTGGGAGTAAGTGTGGGAATTTGTTACCAAAAAAAAAAGGTCCTACTCAATGCTCAATGTAGGAATACTAAAACCTGTCAGATCAGTGATTGCTGCTCTTTGCTTAAAGCTTTACAATGAAAAGTTCTTGTCTGATCCCCTCCAGGCAGATTCCTCACATCCTACTCCTCATGATAATGCTGTAAACACACTTCTGTTATAGACACCTCCTACCTACACCTCTGAGCTCCCAGAGAGCAGGGAGAGGTATATCTTCATGTCTTGGTCTCCCAGAGGCCAGCCAGGTGCCTGGCCCAGAGCAGGGGCTTGATGAATGTTGGTTGTTTAAAGTTCTACTCTAGAATGTTGTCCCACAAGCTGACAGGGTACTTTGTTTTTTAATCTCTTTATCTGCAGTTTCAAGTTCAATGCCTGACATATACATGATGCTCCATGATATTAGGAAAGTGGGCTCATAATCACTCCAGCAGCATGGAGATTCCTCAGAAAACTGGGAATGGAACCCATTTGACCCAACTGTCCCACTCCTTGGTTTACACCCAAAGGACTTTAAATCAGCATACTGTAGTGATGCAGCCACATCAATGTTTATAGCAGCTCAATTCACAATAGCTAGACTATGGAACCAACCTAGATGTCCCTCAATTGATGAATGGATAAAGAAAATGTGGTATATATACTCAATGGAATATTACTTGGCTTTAAAGAAGAGTGAAATTATGGCATTTGCCAGTAAGTGGTTGGAGTTGGAGAATATCATGCTAAGTGAAATAAGCCAATCCCACAAAACCAAAGGTCGGAATATTTTCTCTAATATACAGATGCTAATTCACAATAAGGCTGGATGCACTAGGGAAAAATAGCTTTACCTTAGATTAGGTAGAGGAAAGTGACTAGAGGGGAGGGGAAGGAATGTGGGGATAGGAAAGAGTAGAATGAAACAGACATTTTTACTGTATGTATATATGTGACTACATGACCAATGTGATTCTGCAACATGTACACTCAGAAAAATTAAATTATATTCCATCTATATATGCTACATCAAAGTGCATAAACACATTCTACTGTCATGTATAACTAATTAAAACAAATTTAAAAAATCTTTAAAAATAAAATGGCAGGTTTTTCTTTTCCCCCTTAGCCAGATGACTGTTTTATTTATTCACTTACTGAAAAATAGTATATTAAATGTCTCCTGTGCACTTCAGCCTTGAATTAGGCTCGGTACATACAATGAGCAAGAAAGAAAGAGTCCTTGCCTTTTGGGGGTTTGTAGTCAAGCACTAGAACGGTGCCTGGCAGAAAGCATCAGCTACTATTATTATTTTTTCTATGTTCTGTGTCTGTAGTACTTTGAAAAAGTTTCTGTAATTTTCTCCCCTAGGAAGTTCTCTTTCCTCCTTTCAAGCCATATGTATGGATCACTTGCTCTGAGTCTAGATGGCTACACATAAGCTAGAGACACGATGGCTGTCTCTGGGTTCCTGGCATCAAAGCCAACTCTTGGTTTACTCATAACCCTCTTCTTTTCTTTTCCTCTCCCCATCCTCTTTTTCTTTTCCAGAGATATGGACTTCATTGGACAAATTATCTGCTTCTCTGAGTCCTCCAAGAGTGCCTCTTTGGGTCTCTGGGGGCAGCCCCATTTCTCCTTGAATGATCAGTCAGCATAATGGAGTGAAGCCTCAGCAGGCTTTCATAGGTCCCCGAGTTGAGCACTGGGATGACCGAACAGGCTTCTGATTGGCTGCCTTAGGCTGGGGCATCCCTTCCACCGTAAAGTTACAGGCAGTTACCACACACTTCAAGAGCCCACTTTTCTCTAAACCTGAATKGGTTGCTTCCGGCTCCTTGGCACTTGTGAATAACCCACTTAGAGTCATGGTTTTCGGGATCTGAATTGACTTAATGTGCCCCACAATACCCATGTATTTATTATGGTATAGTTTTACTACTCACTGTCCTTCTTTGTCTTATAGTACAGAGATGGAACACAACCTGTGTAAACTAGTATGTTGACAAAGAGCTTTGCAAGAAAAGTTGACAGCTCTCCTCTCAGCCTTAATTGAAGATTCGCAATAAAATCCACAGCATTTATCAATATAGAAATTGGCTGGACTAAATTTACCCACTTGTGGTTATAGTTATTAATGAATTGCAATTTTCCCATAAAATGGTTAGTTCTATAGTGCTTTTTAAATAGTGCTAAGCTTTGTTCCAGTCTTTGAAATAAAAATGTATAACTGAATGCATTAAATAATGTATAATTGAAGTATGTGTGTGTGTATGTGTATATATATAATCAGCAAAGATAAAGGTAATTGTTAATCTAAAATTTTTTTGGCTGCTAGTTAGCATCACTGTGATGGCAATGACGTACCTGCTTTATATTATGGATGGCTGTTTTTGGAGAAACTTATGGTCTGGAACTAGGAAAGGATGTGAGCAATAGTTAGGACTTGGGGGTGAAACAGACCTTGCTTGTGAAAAGCCCATCTCATCATTAGGTCTGTGCAGCCTTAGGCAAATTATTTAACCCCTTTTCATCCCCTTTCCCTGCTCACTAAAAGGAGAATTAAAATACACACCCTGAAAGGTCCTCAGGAGGATTAGATGAGTTAATGGATGCAAAGTGCTTTGCACAATACCCAATTGCAACTATTATTGTTACATACAACATAATCCCAACCAATCCAGACATATGCGTATCTGATTTTGTTTTTATTTTGTTTTAATCACTCCAGAGAAATTTCCAATAGCCAAATCATGTCTAAGAACCTTTGTCCAGGAAATAGTTTCTTCCAACCATCTGAACCTGGGTCCTCCCCATCTCTCCCCACCTCCCACAGGCCCCTACTGCAAGCACAGCTGTGTTCAGTGCTCAGCTGTGGGGGGGGGGGATGCCTACTGTCTTTAGAAGCCTTTCGACTAGAGTTCTGCTTTACATATATATTTTTAAGGATTCCTTATTTGCTGTCTTGGTAAATACTGCTTTTCTTATCTCTGCTCCCAGAACACACAGATCTCTTCCTTGCTCAGTACAGGCCAGGCCATAGAATTAAATTTGGTTAATACTTGCCAACTGGTTTAGAATCTGAAGACTGTGGCTCTAGCTCCTACTCTGGCACCTACTAGCTCTGCAGCTTCGGGTAAGCCACTTAGCCTTGGAGCCGTAGTTTTCTCCTCCATGAAAGGAGCTGGCAATAGTGACATAGACTTCACTTGGCTGGTGTGGACCAACCAAGGTAACATTTGTAAAACTTAGTTTGAAAGTATTAACTGCTATTATAAAGAAACAGTCTTATTGATATGATGAAGTCTCTTGCCAGCTTCTGGGTTTCTTCTGAAGGAGCTGTGACTTTCTGTGTGATCTCAGACAAGTCACTCAACTCCTGTGCGCTGCATTCATTTCTCCTGTAACATGGGAGAATAGACTTGATTACTGATTCTCTGGGTGTTGTATAATTCTACACTAAGGCTGAACTTCCCTTGGAAACCAGGAAAAGAGTAGGGTTTGACGTTTAGCGAACTGGGATTAATCTCTTACTTCACAGCTTACTGTCTTTCTGTGTCTCTAGACCCTTAAAGGATTATCTCAGAGGTTCAGGGTACTTTTGAAAACAGCCAGCAGTTTGGCTAAAGGGCTTTTGCTTGCAGTAAGATGTCAGCTGTGAGCAGAGCCCTGCAGTGATAGAAAATAGATCAAGCCAAGATTCAGGTCTATACTTTTCAAACTCCAAGGCTCATTGAGTAGAATCAGCTTGTTTTTGTATGTTGAATTTTTATTGATTAAATAGTAGTGCTCCAAGAGCTGGGGTGGTGTGTCTGTCCCCTTGGAGTGGGTTCTACTGCTCTCCAGGGGTAGCTGTAGCATTTCAGGCAGGCCTGCCCCCTGGCGCCTGGCCCCAGCCAGTGATGTGCAGCTGTGTCAATAGCCCTTTGAAGTTCACTCACCAGCTGACTAGTCTGCAGCCCCCAGGATGTCACCACAACCTTTGTCACAGGAAATCAAGAAAGGCATGTGGAAGCTAGCTTTGCTGGAGGGGTGGGAAAAAAAATTATGAATCCTTAATGAAAACATGGAAGAAATGCACCCAAATTCACAGTGTGATTCCATCTGGGATTGTTGCTCACCACTCTCCTACCTCTGGCTCCACATTAACACAGTAGGCTGGTTTCTTTTATCCTGACCAGAAAAGCTCTTCTGCAAGGCTTCATCATGGCCAGAGGCCGTTGGTGGTGCTACAAGATTCTAGAGGAGCTTCTGAGTCATTAAAGCATGAATTTTAGTGCAAGTATTTTTTTATTTTTTGTATTCTACAGTTTAGGGCACTGGTTTTATTTTCTTTTGTTCTTCCAAGATTTCCTGAGACATCCCTGTGTGGGAGGCACTCTACAAGTACTTCACACTAGCATTGTGCTGGCTCATGAGTCTTTACAACATCCCTGAAAAGTCTGATATTTTTACCCTATTTTTTTTTTTTTTTTTTTTTTTGCAAAGGTGGAAATAAGAGCACTGGAAGGGTGGAGCTTGCTGAGAGTAACAGCTGGGAGGGGACCCCTTGCTGTCCACTGTCCACAGTCTGACTCAAGCCTGTGTTCAGAATGCCTACCTTGAGATGCCTTCCACTCCATGGAGAACCTTGTTTGGATTTTGTCTCAGATTACTGGGAATCAGAGTCTCTGATTGACCACATGACTCCTTCTTTGCCACTCAAGTTCAAAATTTATTTCTCAAGCTGTCCTTAAAGCTCCTTTCCAGGCTTGTCTATCACTTCTTGCAATAATTAATTGCCTTGGCTTTGCTGACTTCAGCGTCTTCACTTATGACATGTCCTTTGCCTAAAATGTTACACGCCTTCGCACCCAAACCTCCCCTGTTAAAATTCTCTTCTATTAAGGATCTCCAGTTGCCTTGCAAAAATGATCCCCCTCAAGCATTTTGTAACACTTAAACAGTAGACTAACATATTACTTCACTGTATTTATTTGTATGCCAAGACAAAAACATAATAAAAAATAAATCTCTTACTGAGAGCTTACTATGTGCCAGTGTTTTTTTTAATTGTTCTTTTTAGATACACATGACAGTTCAGCATATTTTGACATATTATATATATGGAGGTATAAGTTAGTCTAATTAGGATCCCATTCTTGCCATTGTACGAAATGTAGAGTTTTACTGGTCATGCATTCATACATGAATATAGGAAGTTATGTCCAATCAGACAGTGTTCTTGGTGCTATTAAAAGTAATTCTTCTTTTAAGCCTTGCAACAACCCTGGATGGTAGTTGATATTATGTCTTCATGACAGAGGTGAGGAAATCTAGGCACATGTAGTTGAACTAACTTGTCAAAGAATTAGTGATGGACCCAKTATTCAAATCTAAGCAGTCTGCTTCCAGCACCCAGGTTTCTATGATAGCCACCTCTCCAGAATTTTTTTTTTTTCCCACTTAGGAGATCCTGGCAGGCTCATAGGCATACTCTTAAAAGAGCTACTTCATGGCTTCATGGACTTATAGATTTAGTAATGTGCATCAGGCAATTTGGGATATTGGGACAAATGGACAAGACTATAACTAAGAGGATATATAGGCATGCCAGTCAACCATAGATGCTCTTCAGCAACTTGCACCTGACATATTGGTGAGCCAGTATAACCAGCTTCCAAGCGCTGATGTTTCCAGATGACAGGTGCTGTGTAAAAATGAAGCATGTTTTCCATGTCCCATAAAATGTAACTTCATTACCCAGTAGTCAGACTATGGGCCTGGGACTCCTGTAATGCTCCACCTTTGGCATGAAATGATTACCTGGTTAATAATCCTAATCGGTCTAGTGCACTCACCCTATGTTTATCACTCCTGTCTTATAATTAATTTTTATATTTTCCTTAACTTTACAACTCAATCTGTGCACCAGAGTGACTGCAAACCCATATTTATCTAATTTAGCAAACATTTGCATGCACTGCAATTAGACTCACATGTTGTGTGATCAACGTCCTTTGCTAATTGCATAATTCCTTTTGAGTTTAATCATCAGATGGCATCCTTCATTTTTTTTTTAAATGACTATATGGTTTGCTATTGGTTGTGAATTGCATGTGGAATCTCAGGTTGAGGCATTTACAGTCACAGAACCAGAGATATGGCTAGAGACAAAGACAAGTGAAGAATCATCTTCCTTGTGTACAGGTGTGAAGAAGCAGGCCCAAGGACATTAAGGGACTTGCTTATTCACGAAGCTATTATTAACAGTTCCTGAAGATGTGAAAGAATGAACACATCTGCAAAGAATATCACCCAGACCATCTCAGTGTAGAAATTCCATGAATAATTCAAGCCGGTTCTGACAAATAACAATGAGCTTSAGTCTGGACAAGATTAGTCTGAGCCTAAAAGAAATCAGGTGATGGGCAAGGAAGACTCTTAGGATATTCTGAAATCATAGCCCTTAGCAATTGCTTTTTAGCTTCAGGCTGCTTATTGCCAGCAGATGTGTCATTATAAGGAAGAATGCTTATATAGTTTTCTCTTCCTTCTGCCTCTTTTTGTAAAACTTTGTTTCTTTATAAAGCTAGATTAGAAGAGAGTAGAGGCTTCATTCAGGAATTAAGGATTAGCATGGAAAACAGTATTTGAACTAAAAGAAAATTCCAAGATCTTCTAGTTTACTCAGTTTTTTTTCTTTTTCTTTTTCTTTTCTTTTTTTCTTTTTTTCTTTTTTCTTTTTCTTTTTTTTTTTTTTTTAACAATGAAGATCAGAAGGCTGTATCTGAAGTCACATAGTTGTTTAGTTGCAGATCTGGGACTGAAATCAGTGCCCTTGACTTACAGTTCATATTTTTCTCACCACAGTGCTTTGCTAATGGAGAGACCAAGCGGCCAAGGTGTTCCTCCTCTCCTGTGTGTGACATGGTACCTCACATAGTGCCCTGGAGTGTCCAGTCCTAGGCTAGAGGTATTAGGGATACAGACACTCAAACATGGATCTAGGCAGGGATTAGTGAGCCAGAGAAGGGGGATTTGCCAGGACGGAGGAGACCCCACTCCCCAGTGTGGAGATTTTGAACTCAGGATTTAAGAGAAGGCAGAGGAGCCCAGCATAGTGCCTGGCCCTTGGAAGGGATGCTACTGATAGCTACTGGATGAACATGGGCACTGGCAAAGGGCTGAAGATGGGGTGATGAGGTCAGAAAGATAAGGACGGACTAGCTGTTCCTACTTGCAGTTTCTTTGCTTGGTAGGGGCAAGGAATCATGAAAGTTCCCTCATAATGACATCATCTTATCTATCCACGAAGAAGGAAGTGATCACTAATGTGGAAGCACTGAGAATTGCCATGGCCAGAAAATATGGTCCAGTGGTGTGTTGGGAAAGAAGTGGAGAGTAGATGTTAGCCTCTGCCACATCTGCTGAGCTAGGAAACCTTCCCACTGCCGCTGGCAGTAATAGCTGTGCCCTGCTCTCTTAGACCGTAGCAGCCAGGGCAGACCTCTGCCATGGTGTTTGCCATCCTCCATCAGATACACCCTCTGTATCTCCTGACTCCTAACACAGTATCTAGGAAATAGTATGTACTCAATAAATGGGTAGGGAATGAATGAAAACCTGTTGAATAAATTGTTCAGCTCTCACCAAGTCTGCAGTGTGAGATAACATATGGAATGGACAAAATAATATTAAAAATATTTTTAATAGCCTATATCGACAGACCAAAACAGTAGGATTAAATTTATCTAGTGGAAATGTAATACAAAGCCTGCTTTTTTTTTTTCAAAAATTTAATTACCCAAACCAAAAGTGAGTGAAATTTGAAGGGATACAGTCTTCTTTAAAAAGCCAGTAGGGGTAGGTATTAGTAGGTCATAAGCTCAACATGAAATACAATTTTTCATGTAGCTGCTAAAATGGGGTCAGGCTCCATCAGTAGAAGCTAGATTCACATCAATGCCAGTGATGCTCTCTGTAGTTTTGGGCCGGGTCAGGTCATGTCTGGGGCATGATGTTCAGTTGAGTTCTGTTAATAGCTATACTTTACCCTGGATCCAGCACTTGAGTTTACAAAGTATTTTCTTGGCACTACTCTGTTACATTGTCCTAATAAGATTGACTTGCTCAAGGTCACCCAGCCAGTGAGTGGTAGAGTTCAGCCTCTGACCCCTTGTTCATACTTTTTGCCACATCATGCTCTCTTTATGCAGACTAGAGCCCCTGCTGGCAGCATCTAAAAGCAAGGCCTGCGTGACGCTTGTCAAACGCTGTCAACAGTGGACACGCTCAGATGGGCACCTCACCATCAGCCAGTCTGACAGTTATGGTTCAGAAACTGCTTTTCTTAACTTGAGGGTGTGCGTGGGGAGCTTTGATGGGCAAGCTCGCATCCACAAGCACAGTGACCCTGGCTTGTTTCAGAACTGACAACAGACAAACATTGATCACCACTTCACTTCTGAATGAGCCCAGGAAAGGACAGACCTCCAATCTCAAGTCTTTTGACACTTTGGAAAGGATTTGTGAGCTGGGGCTCTTAAGGGGGAATGTAATACAAAGTGGAAATGTAATACAAAGCCTGGCTCAAAATAGTTTACTTTTATTTAAGTTAAAAGTTGTAGCATAGGACCTGTCTCTGTAGCCTCACTGTCTGTCCTGGTCACCAGTGACTCCAACCCTGGCATTGGGTTGTCATAATTTTCTGCTACATCCATAAGCTCTCTACAAGTGGTCTTATCCATTCTTATCCATATTTTCAAAAAGAACTGTGAGGCAGGTAGGGCAGGGATTTCACAATGAGGCACAAAATTGTGTGTCCATCCATCCAGCCAACCATCTTTCATCCATTCATCAGCTATTTATTAAGATGATTCTGTGTTCTAGGAATTGTGAAATGCACCTAGAAGCAAAAATGTCTCGAAAGCTTTTGGGGGAATTGTATAAGATCAGAGGGGTAAAGGAGGCACCAGAGATGCGGCTTTTTTTAGTGGGAAGGCCACAGATTCATGTGATGGGGGCGTCATGGCAGATTCTGACCAGTAGGTGGCACTCGGGGTCCCAGGAGTCTCAAGAGTCCTTCCAAGCCAAGCTTTCATTTCATATTCATTATTGTGCTTAAAATCAAATTCTAAGACACATTGAAAGGCTGTATTCAATTTGATTTTAATTCCATTTATTTTCCGTTAATTGTTCCATGCTCTTCTAAAAATGGTCAAATTAAATCTAGTTGGGTCACGGCTTCCTGGATAAGTGAAAGACCCGTCCAGGAAATTAGACCCTAACTAACTTAGCACCTCTGGTGATTTGTTAGGCTTTGGATTCCTTTCTTAGGAACCTATTGGGAAACGATCTGGAAGGATACTCACTGTAATGTTAGTTGTGATATTTTCCAGTGGTGGAGATACAGATGATTTTAAAAAATTGTTTTATACTCGTCTTGGCTTTAGTTGTTGTTATGATGACATGCTTTACTTTGCTTGTTTCATTGAAGTTTTACCTACAAATGGAAAAGTACACAAATATTATGTAAATAGCTTGTTGAATTTTTATAAATTCATGCGCATGTATAATCATCACCCAGATCAAGATACAGAATATTACCAAAACCCCAGAAAGTTCCCTCATGTGCCTTCTCAATGACCCTTACCCCATATTATGATGTCTATTACCATAGATTAGCTTTGACTATTTTTAAACTTAAAGTATACGGAATCATACAGGATGTTCTTCTTTGTGTCTGCACCCTGGCTCAATATTATTTATATAAGTTGATGAATACAAATACACAAAAACTAGCCAAGATGTAATGTGGTTATGTATATTAGAGTCTGTTCTTTTTAATTGATGTATGGTATTCCATTATGTGAATATATTGCAAATAGGTTTTTTTAATTATAAAAAAATTACTAAAAGTGATTAAATATATGGAAACTGTTCCATATTGGTGGTCAAGGAGACATTTCAACAGCAAGACAAACTTCTCAGGAGACATCAA